GCTGAGTAAACCTCATGTGCTTGACCCAACTAGTTGGGGAAGTAGTTAAAGGAAACTTGAGTCCTTAAGCAGTAAGTCCTGAGGGTGGTGTGAACCACACCTCAACACAGCTCAGGCTCACCCTTCCCTGGATCTGTGTGGAGCTGTCAAGTCGGTGGCTGCCCCACTTGATTTGATGTGTGCAGCTGCCTCTACCTGTGAGAAATTCCGCAGCACCTTTCCCCGGGCTGCCTGGTATGTGGATCTTCACTTGGCTTTTCCCCTTGTTGGCATGAGTGAGTCAAGCGATGAGTCATGGAAATTGTTTGCGGTGGATGGCGCCACACTGCAGTGGCGGCAGAGAAACATTTGGGCTCTGTCAGCCCGAAACTTCAGCAAAAGAGCACCTGAATCGTCTGGGTTGAAGGTTTTCTGTGCAGATGAGGTCTGCTGCTCACTTGCTGGGCTGCGTGTTTTGCCGTGTCTCATTCTAGTCTTCCTCTAGCAGGCTTCATGCCCATTTATACTAGAGAGGTTGTAGGAGGAAATCACTCTGTCCTGGGTTACTCAAAAAGGGTTTTCTGCTATTATTTCCCCACACTGCCTTGTCTAGTTCAGTGTCTGCTGTGAACCCAGGGCCTTTGCACTGAGCTACATCCCAGTGCCTCTTTTACTTACTTATTTTTAAATTTTGAGACTGTCTTTCTAAGTCACTCAGATGTCCAGGCTGGGCTCGAACTGTTGATCTCCCTGCATCAGCATCCCAGAGTGCCAGGGTTCTAGGTGTGTCACAAGTTTTTTTGTCAGCTGTCACCTGTCTCTCCTCTGCTTTAGTTGTGTCTGTGATGATGTGGAAAACACCCAGGTGGTGTAACTTGTTTCTGGTGCCAAGCAGGAGTTCAGACCTCCATTGAGAGTCTCCACCCATGGCCCCCAGGACGAAGAGCTGTGAATTCTGTCTTTGGAGCTGGGGCCCCCAAAGTAGAGTGGTATCCTTACCCACTGCATACTGTGAATATGTTCTGTCTTAGGCAGGGCAGCTATCAGTCTTGGTTTACCTGTCAGCAGGCTGCTCTGGTTTGATTGCAGAGGGGCGAGTATCAGAAATGATACACTCAATCAGAGAGAGAATTGTACTTTAAGAATTAGTTTGGAGCTGACGTTTCAGAAACTCCAGTTTCCTCTAAGGTGTGAGGGACTCAGGGCAACAGAATTCCCCTGCTCAGTGCTGGCACTGTTTGTTCAGTGACCCAGTGGAGAGGAACTGGGTGTGCTCTGTCCAGCCAGTTGCTGTTTTTTTTGTTTGTTTTTTAGTTTTGTTTTTCTTGTTTTTATTTTTTTGAGACTGGGTCTTGCTGTGTAGCTCATGCTGGCCTTGAACTCATTGTGATCCTCCTGCCTCAGGCTTCCAAGTGCTGGGATTACTGGTGTGTGCCACCACGCCTGGCCATCTATCCAGTTTTTATTATTGAAGTCAGCAGAGCTAGTCAGGAAAAGAGCAGAAGCAGGCGGTTACACATTTGTGTCTGTTGATGACATGGGGCATTTGACAAGCCTTTTTGTGGATTTCCTTCAAGGGCTTATCCTCCGCAGGATAAACATGCAATGCGCCCTTTGGCTTCCCAGGAGCCCACAGGCTGTTGTGTTTTGGATCATCATGTTGGGGCTGGTGACATTAATTATGCAATTAGAGTAATATGTGATTTATCCTTTTTTAAAGCTTAAAAAGTACCCCTCTAATCCCCTGGTAGCAGATGTCATATTATACTCTTGCCGTGTTTGGACACTTTCAGACTAATGGAGGACTCCAGAATCATTTTATCAAGAATGGGTGTGTTTACTTCTGCTGTTGTGCTGTTCCCTGAGAGACAACATAGATGTGGGCCTCTGTAAGAGGAGCTTGTAGCAGCTCTCCTGAATCTGCCGTCCCCTTGGCTGTGTGTTGTGCATCCTACTCTCAAAAATGAGGATGAGGGAGCTGGGGATTTAGCTGAGTGGATCTGCCACCTGCCTCGCAGGCGCAAGGACCCAAGTTCAATCCGCAGTACCCCCCCCCAAAAAATAAGGATGAGTATGGGGACTCAGTCAGCCGACACCCACAGGGGTAGAGTGGGCAGGGGCACTGGCAGAGCAAGAAGCTGCTGAGACCCTGTGCATCCTCCTTCCCAGTGGGAATCTGAGCCTGCTCTGTCTCTGTGAAAGTGTCTTTCCTCTTTTTCTTTTGAAAGACTTCAGGGGTTTATTTGAGGCGATGCTTTTTAAAACTCACCCCGGTGCTCCTCTCTGGCTGGTGAGTGTGGACAGCACGCACCTGTACACAGTTACGGTGACTGCATCTGTGCTGTCACTGCAGAGCTGAGTGACCACACTGACCCCTTCAGGAAAAGCTTGCTGTTCTAGCCTAGTTCTTTGTTACCGTTTCTCTCTGCTTTCTGCTTTGTTTAGTAGATCACCTGCCCTCAACCGCAGTTAGTTTGGTTTGAATTTTGCCCTCACATCCTTTCCTACAGGCTGTAAACTGGGGGATGGAGCCCTCTCTCTCTGAGCTGAGGCAGTGGCAGCCTTGGCCCTGGTGGTGGTGGTGGGGCACAGATACCATCGCGGCTACTGTACTATTTCTACTTCAGCAGCATATTCTTAATAAAATTCATGAGATTTTAAGAGGCCAGTGACCATGCAGAATTTAGAAGTAGTGTTTTCCCCAAGAGTGAACTTTTTTTTTTTTGAGACAGGGTCTCACTATGTAGTTGAGACTGATCTAGAACTCACTAGGTAGCCCAGGCTGGTCTCAAACTCACAATCCTCCTGCCTCAGCCTCCTGAGTGCTGGGATTAAAGGCATGCGCCACCATGCCAGGCAAGAGTGGATTCTTTAAGCTGAACATAGTAGTATATGCTTATAATCCCAGCACTCTGGGAGGGTTAGTCAGGAAGATTACATGTTTGACCCCAGCCTGTACAGTTTAAAGACTTAAGCAAGCTCCTGTCTCTAAATCAAAAATCAAAAAGGGCTGGGGAAGTATCTCAGTGCGAAGGCCTTGGGTTCAAGTATCACTAAAACAAAATAAAACTCTTCTGCAATAATAAATGAGTATTACTGTGAAACCTGTTGCCTTCTGCCAAAACACCGTATCCAATTAAATTGACCAAACAATATAAAAAAAACCATAAGACTATTAAAAGATACAATTCTTCCAGTTGGTCTTTTCTTGGCTTTGCAAAGTAGCAGGTTATACAGCTACATGTCAACAAAATGCAGGAATACTAAAGGAATTTTGTTCTTAAGTTTTTTTATTGTGTGGATTTACCTTCTCATGGTAAAACTTATGCTTAATTTTTTTTTCCTATTTTAATTTTATTGGTACGTGTTTGTAGTGCTTTGTGATTGCATTCATCTTGGGAATTGGCACATACAACACTTCTCATTTCCTTTTTTATTAACCCTTGCCTCTTTCCCCATCCCTGCACCTCTTGGCCCCTTCTTCTAGATGTATTTTTATATGTGTATACTATATATTTTTTAATATGTTTGTAGTACATGATGATCATCACATTCCTTGTAGGGACTAGGTGTATGACAGCACTTTACAATCCCTCCCTTTTTATATTAATCTCCTTTCCCTCCCCCCTAGATCAGTCTTGCCATTTCCTGCTCTCTCTTGTATTTTTTTGTTTGTTTATTTGTTTTGTTTGTTTTTTGAGACCGGGTCTCACTATGTCGTTGAGACTGACCTGGAACTCACTGTGTAGCCCAGGCTGGTGTTGAACTCACAGCAATCCTCCTGCCTCAGCCTCCTGAGTGCTGGGATTAAGACACGCACCACCATGCCCCAATAAAGTTTTTTTGTTTTGTTTTTTTTGAGACCGGGTCTCACTATGTCGTTGAGACTGACCTGGAACTCACTGTGTAGCCCAGGCTGGTGTTGAACTCACAGCAATCCTCCTGCCTCAGCCTCCTGAGTGCTGGGATTAAGACACGCACCACCATGCCCCAATAAAGTTTTTTTGTTTGTTTTGTTTTTGGTACTGGGGATCGAACTCAGGTCTTTGCACTTGTGAGGCAGGCGGTGGAACCACTGAGCTAAACCCTGGACCCTTTACTCCGTTCTTTATTTTGAACTTTATTTATATAATAGGCTTCTCATAGAAGAGAAGCCATGTGATATTTGAGCTTGTATGTCCAATTTGTTACACTTAACATGATGGTCTGAAGGTACATCCATTTTCCTACAAATGGCTCACATTTGTCCTTCTTTATGACAGAGTAATACTCTGTATAAATACAACATTTCCTTTGTCCATTCATCTGTTGATGGGCATTTAGGCTGTTCCCAAGATTTAACTATTATGGGGTGTGCTGCTATAAACATGGGTGTGCATGTAACACTATAATAGTGTGTCTTTAACTCTGCCAGGAAGATACCTGATAGAAAAATAGCTGGATCAAATGGGATTTCTACTGATTTCCATAGTGGTTGTACCAGTTTACACTCCCACCAATGAGCAAGGGTTCCCTCCCCACCCTCTTCCCCCACCCGGTGCAGCTTCCCTAGCATTTGTTTTTAGTTGATTTTTTGATGATAGCTGTTCTTTCTAGAGTGAGCTAGAATCTCAGCATTGTTTTAATTTGTATCTCAAATGACCAGTGTTGCTGAACATTTTTTCATGTATTTATTGGCTGTTTATTCTTCTTCATCTGAGAAGTATCTGTTCATTTCAGATGCCCATTTTTGGATTGGGTCTTTATTGAGGGGGGTGCCTCATTTTTTGCCCTTTTTTTTTTTTACCAGGATTGAACTCAGGGCCTTTCACTTGAGAGGCAGGTGGCAGAACCACTGAGCTAAATCCCAGCACTGGTCTCGTATTTTTTAGTAGATATTAGTCCTTTGCCTGATGAGTAGCTGTCAAAATTTTTGTTTTCCCATTCTGTGGGTTATCTTTTCACTCTGTTGGTGTTTTCCTTTGAAACTTAAACTCTAAACGTGCTTTAAACTGAAATAAATTTTACTTCTTTTTTTCTAGCCATGGCCTGAAAAAGTTCTTTTCTTGTCGTGGAATTGCAATTGCAGTTGAGTATTTTTGGAAGCTTGGCAACAGAAACATCACTGTATTTGTCCCTCAGTGGAGAACAAGACGTGACCCCAATGTCACAGGTGAGCCCAACTGCTTGCTCCAGATGTTTCATAATTAGCTTATAATTGCAAGACGTGGTGCTTGGAATAGAGGCCTGTAGCGTGGTCAGCAGTGTTGATAATGGAATGGTTAATCTGTTCGACTTCTGTAGAATCAACTGAAGAGGGTATCACCATACCAGAAATGGGGGAAGACTGGAAAGTTAGATAGGTGACAGTTGTTGGAAAGTTGTGTTAGAATTTATTAGACGTCACAAATGTTTTTTTTTTTACTTTCTGCAAATTAAAGTATTGCCTTCCTTCAGGCTGGGTTTCTGCTGTTGAAGTAGTGTTTTTGAAAGTTCACATGTTAAGTTTGGCCCCTTCATACGTACTGTCTTTTCAGGAGCCTAATTAATAGCATAAACTATTTCTGTTGGTCATAGAGAGCTTCGTGGCTGACCTGCAGGCCACACACAAAAGATGTGAACTTACCATCCATCCCAAAATGGTCCAGACACACTTAGGCTGAGTTTGTCACAAGTCCTGTAGGAAGACAGGTAGAGGTTGTGTGGGCAACTCACACCTCAGCACCCAGAGAGAAAAGGTAGATGGGTAGGAGTCAAACTCAGTCACTACCAAGGTTCCCAAAGTCCTGCCAGCTCCTTCATTTTGGTGAACGTATTTGTATGAGAAGTGGAGCAGATCTGCTCATTTCCTTAGCCGATTTTGCAGCTGGATCCCTGCATGAGTCAGGTTATGCTATATACTGTGTGGTTCTGGGAGTCAACATCTACAAACGTTTCAGTTTGGGCCAGTATTGCTGCCGCTGTAGGGAAGGTAATAAGTTGCTCTTGCTAGTTACTGGGTTTCTGAAATGTGCCTGTGACCCTCCATGCCCCGTGTTACCATCACCCCTGAAAAAATAGTAAAGATTTTTACAAACAAGTAGGAAAATTTTCGGGCTGGCAGCTGGAGGGAGACAGTGACAGACTTCTGGGCTGCGAGCACATGGCCTCTCTTGGGACTGGTAGAGTGGCTTTCCCTTGCACTGCATCTTGGGTGCTCTTTCCTGTCCCACTCCTGCCCTTTCTTCTGCACAACTCTTGTCCCCCTCTCTTTGTCCTCTACTGCTTGTTGTGTGGCTTTGGAAAAGTTCTTGATGGCAGGATTCGTTAAACATAGGCTTTAAGAAGCAATTGAGCTCAGCCATTTCTGTTAAAAAAGATTGCCAGTGTAAAGCCAGGCATGGTGTCACATGCCTGTAATCACTGCACCTGCGAGGCTGAAGCAGGATTATCACTGTGAGTTTTAGACCAGTCTGGGCTACATAGCATGACCCTATCTCAAAACAAGACAGAAGTCAATTCATACGTTGCATTTGCTTTAGTATAGGTCTTACTGGATTTTCCCCTTTCCGTTGAGTTAGTAAAATTGAGTCAGTAGAACACAGGTTTATAGCTCCCCAAGGCAGACATTCAGATGTACTTTCATTTATTTACACATCTTTGCAGAGAGCCTTTTTCTGAATATGTGTGTTCAACTTCTTCCATGAACAGAACAGCACTTCCTAACCCAGCTCCAGGAACTTGGAATACTATCTCTAACTCCTGCCCGGATGGTCTTTGGAGAAAGAATTGCCTCTCATGATGACAGGTATGAAAGGTTTTCCTTTTTAAAGTTGGGGTAGGTGGGGAGGGGTCCTTCCCCCGGGAAGTACAGGCTCTCAAAGGGTTCACCAAACTCAGGGCTTGAGGGATTTCACAATTTCCTATCGTTAAGGTTATGTGCTTGACAGTCTTTGCTGTGTGGCCTTAGGAACATCACAAAAGAAGCTATGACGTAGAGGGTTTTTTTTAATAAAGTGTATCTGAGATAGGTATTTAGTTGTACCCTTTTTGAGGCATGCTGAAAGTTGTGCTTGTCTTGCCTTCACTTGGAGCCTAGGAGTAGCTTTCATCTGGGTCCACTGGTGCACACCTGCCATCCCGGCTGTTTGGGAGGCTGAGCCCCAGAATGTGACAACAGTCAAGGCAAAAATTCTTTTTAGCACAAAGCCAAAGAAGAACAAAGGAAGAGCCGGAAAGAAAGTGGCTTTCGGTATCATCTCCCTGCCCCTGGTCTCTTGCAGCCAGGATGCCTGGGCCGTGGGATTTTCTCCACACGGGAGAGGCTGTCTCTGCTGACCCTCTGAGAGAAGGAAGTTAGAGTTCTTCCACTTGATCACTCAGCAGGTGCTGGTGCATCTGAGACATTAAAATTTAGTCCACATTTTGTAAATTTCTTTAAAAACTTTCCTGAGCATTAACCAAGCTCTTAGGTTCTGATACCGTTCTGCTATACCTCCTTCTCCAGAGGTGTGCCTAGGAGAGAAAGGACACAGATAAGTAATGCAGGGAGTTCACTGTGGTGCACTTCAACACCTAGCTCCTTCCCCATCCTGGTACATTTTCAGACAGTGTCTTACTGTTGCCTATGCTGGCCTCAAATTTGTGATCCTCCTGTCTCAGCCTCCCAAGTAGCTAGGATTACAGGCATGTGCCATCACACCCAGTAAGAATCTTCCAACTTAACCAGTGGCACTTAGTTCTTAAAATGCTCCTCTCATGTGAAATAAGTAATAGCCAGTGGAGAACGTGTTGGGAAACTAAGAGGCAGGTGCTTATTCTTTCCTCTCCTGCATCTTCCCCAGACCTGTTGAAGGTAGTATTAGCTTGTGACCCAAGCTAGTGAGTGGTCAGTTGGTATGAAAAGAGCCATGCCAGGAGAAGGTGACTTGGGACCATCGCAGACATTTGCTTACTATGTGGGCCCTCTCACCGACAGCCTGTTGGGTCACTTTCGCCTTGTTGGGACAAAATCCCTGTCTTAAAGGAAGAGAGGTTTATTTTGGCTCAGTTTCAAGCCATTCAATCCTCATGCAGGGCAGAGGGCGATGGGGGAGTTAAAGGTGCACAGCCAGGAGGCGGAGAGAGCAGGGCAGGAGCACAGCTTCCAGGTCCTGCGGTGACCCCCCTGGCTGGGCCTCACTGACTCACATTTGGGTGCTGCACTCATGAATGGACGCATCCGCAGATGAGCATCTTGCCCAGCGATCCAGTCCCTTTCCACACACTGTACGTCTCGGGGGAAGTTGTGGATCTGACCCTTGGCATGGCCTTTTGCCTGATTAGGTGGGATGGGGAGGATCGGGTGATGTGGAGGAGAGGCGTGTCAGGAGCCAGAGGACAGCATGTGGGGCAGGGACGGGTGGGGAGAAGGCGGTGTCCTTGCTAATGTAGGGCCAAGGGCAGGGCCCTGGGGTGTCCACACGGAAAGGCAGCGTGGGCACTGGGCTTGAATAACCTTCAAGTCTTCTGACACTCCAGCTTCATCCTCGGGCCGCAGGATTCAGACAGGTACAAATACACAGTTAAGGTTTTGATCCCCATGGTTTTTGCTTGGCTTTGTGAGTCTTGGAGGACAGTTTATAGTACACGCGTGGACTTGGAAGCCTTAGTACCTGAGTGTCATCACCACTTCACGCATTCTCATTACAGATAATTTGTAAATAAAATGCTTCTAACAACTAAATCATGTTTATTTTCCAAGGTTTCCTAAGACTTCTGAAACTAATAAAACTTGGGGTTTTGTCTTTGTTTTGTTTTGTTTTTGGTTTGTTGTTTGTTTAATTTTTTGAGACAGGATCTTACTATGTGGGTCAGGCTGGACTTGAACTCAGTATGTAGCCTAGGCTGATCTTGAACTTGCTGTGATCTTCCTGCCTCAGCCTCCCAAGTGCTGGGATTACAGGCTTGCACCACCACACCTGCAGAATTTTATTTTTTGTTTTGTTTTTTAATGTCCTTTCAGAACTCATTGCTACTATGGGCAGTTGTTTGCATATTCATGATTTGGTTTGTGTCTTCATTGTGTCTTTGTCTGCATTGCCTCAGACATATGAAGTCATCTTAATTTAAGAGATAAAATCTACACTATCCTCACAAATCTCATATTAGGACAGTGTGAGCTGGAATAATCTTTGGCAGTTAAACAGAACACTTCCTTATTGTTTCTTTTTCATCTCCATGTGCCCTTTCATGACTTGCTTTTGAGTAAATCTACCATTCAGGCTGAACAGAATACCGAATGACAGTTCTTGTCATGTCTTCTTAAATGAAAGCAGAAAATGTGTGAAAATTGCAAGGCTGGCTGTGCCAAGCAGCTAATCTAGAACCAAAATCCTGTAGCCTAGCAACAGGAAACTGAGTGGCAGTTTCACTAGCTGGCCTCCTGATTCATGTGCTGCTCCAGGCCTCATGCATTCTTATCACTGGTTATCGGTCATGTAACTTTTCCAGAAACATGTAAACATTATAATTGAAGTCATTTTGAAAATTAAATTGTATGAAAAACTTGTTTATAGACCCTAATTTCATAAATATTCATTATTTCCAGTTGTTCTTCAGTTGACAGGGACTTAACTTTTCTACTGTCCAAGTTGGGTTAAATTCTTTGGTGATTTTCCTAAGTAGAGGATGTCCTTTTTTTTTTCTTATAACACAGGTTCTCAAAGCCAGGGATGTCTATTTGCTCATTTTTTAAAAATTAACTTTTAATAATATGTTTAATATAACGGAATATATAAAAGTATTACTTCCTGAACATTATCAATGCAACAGTTATTAATGTATTTGCCCATTTTAAACTCTTCTATTACTATAGGTTTCTGCTACATTTAGCGGACAAAACTGGTGGCATAATTGTAACAAATGATAACTTCAGAGAATTTGTGACTGAGTCAGTTTCTTGGCGAGAAATTATTACAAAAAGGTAATATTTTCTTACTTGTCTTTAGTTAGAAAGCTTTTGTTACTGTTTGTTTTGTGCTTTGCCTGTCCCTTGTACCCTGGGCCCTGCGAAGGGCGATGCTGTCCCCAGGCCACCCATGGCTGGCCCTGCTAGGAGCCTCTGTGTGAACCCTGCACAGGGAGTCCATGGGTGACCTGCTGTGTGTGCCATGCATGTCTTCCAAGAGACCAGTGGCAGACAGCGGCGTAGCTCTGCACATGAGTGGCCTCCCAGCATGGCCTGCCATGTTGTGCAAGATGTCTGCAGACCACCTGCCTCCCTACTTTCTCAGCTGTGAAGTGAAAGGTTGGACTGTGATAGCTGAGATTTCACTTCTGAAGTACATGATTCTGGCAAGAAGATAGAACTGAAAGCATTGTGCTGGTTGGATTCCACTTCCTAGGGGATAGGAGAGATCTTTTCTGCCTTTAGTATCTAATGTTTGTCATGAGCCTTTAATAGTATAGCATAATCTGTACTGCAAACGTGAATTTGCTGTGCTACATTGTTTTTCATGCATGGTGACACTGAACACATCCGACTGCTGGAAACTGCCCTTACATCAGTGAGCACTGGCTCGTAGGACTTCTTGTTAACAAGAGTCACCTGACCAGTTATGCAAAATGGAAAAGCAGGAGTCAATTTTAGTGCCAGGCATAAGTCATTTGTGGCCCCAGTTTTAAAACGAAATGAAAACACATAAGCCAAATACAGCTAGATTTAAAACTAGCTAGATGTAAACTAGCATGATGAGACATGAGGTTTCAGTTGCTCCTTGTCTGGTTTTTAAATTTTGCTAAATCTAAATCATTAGATGGTTTTCAAAAAGCTTTGCTGTAACTGCCCAGATGAGGGTTAATTGGTACAGGGTTTTGACCCATATGCAGTTAGAAAGCTTTGGGTTAAAAAAAAAGGGGGGGGGGAAGCTGTGGGTGGTGCCTGAGCCAAGAGTTGGTCTTTGACTTTGGGCACAGTTGATGAACAATTTCTCACCACATATTCCCGCTGGGCTCTCTGTCAGTGTTCATTGGGCACTCGTCTGCGCTCCTGTGGAGGCTTCAGATGTAGTGAGAAGCAGACTAATCCATTCATCTACAATTCGCATAAGTAAAACGGAAACCAAGATTGGACAACAAACACAAGCACTAGGGCTCCCCACCCCCCAGTGCTGGGGATTGAACCCGGGGTTTCACATATGCTAAGGCATGAGCTCTGCTACTGTACCCCAGCCCTACCCCATATTAGATAACTAATGCTTTACTGGTCAGATTTTTCTCTCTTTCATATATCATATTGTTTTTTATTTTATATATTTAATTTTTTTGGTTTTTTTGAGACAGGGTCTCACTATATAGTCCAGGCTGGACTCCAACTCGTGATCCTTTTGCCTCAGCCTCCCAATTGCTGGGATTATAGGCATGCACCACCATGCCCTTGTTTTCCCTTTTTAAAAGGTTATTTGCAGTAGGTTTGCCTATGGACAATGAAAGAAATAAGCTTTCATATATAACCCATTATATTGTAAGCAGAAAGTCTTTAAATCTTGCTTGCCGTAGTTGTATTAGAAATAGCTGCTTCCCAAGCCTAGCAGGGGAAAAAATCAGGTCTGATAAAAAATGTGGGGACAGCTGCTAAAAGTTTCTTGGACTAATTCTTTTGTGTTCAAAACAGAAATTAAAATGACTTTTCCCCCCCTTAAGGCAATTAAGCGGCCTTAGAATTTATAGGCTGACCATGGCTTTGAAATTGGGTGACTGCTTTGAGCTACATGTTGGTTCCTGCAGCCTTGAAGAGTTGGGTGTCTTCAGCTTTGTAATATTTCTGTGTTGTAGATTGCTTCAGTACACGTTTGTGGGGGACATATTTATGGTTCCTGATGACCCTCTGGGAAGAAGTGGACCTCGATTAGAAGAATTTCTTCAGAAGGAGGTCTCTCTCAGGTATTTCTTCAGATTACCTTGTATCTAAGTTTTATTTCAGTCTAATATTTTGTGTTGTGTACAAGTGTTACCTCTGCAAATTAAAAAGGCATTTTAATTTTTTTTAAAGCCTTAGATTTAGTGAGAGTATGGCATATATGGAAGCCAATCAAGCAAGCAACTGAAAAGACCAAATAGTGAGTTTTTATCCTTTTTGTTTTAATCCTAGGAAGAGGAAGGGACCTAAACTTGCTTTGAGCCCAAGAATTTTTGAGCTGGTGGTCATTTTCCTCGTGAATGCTGTTTAGGTTTGGTTTGTGTGGGTGTGTCTTCATTCACTATGTCGTTTGTTTTATGTATGTTGTGCTTACATTAATTTATTTCCTATTCAGGAATCACTGCCTGGAGTTCTGACAGCTACTTTCTACCATCACTGAATGAAGAAGCCAGTATTACCTATTTTTCTGAAATTTATTTGATATTTTAGGACCTAAATCTAAACTTTAGGTTTTGTTTGTTGAAGTTTAGGTTATTTTGAGGGTTTTTTTTGTTTGTTTTTTGGCCTTTTTGATACAGGGTCTCTCTAGCCCAGGCTGGGCATGAACTTGCTATCCTCCTGCCTCAGCTTCCCAAGTGCTGGAAATACAGGTGTTAACCATCACACTGGGTGAGCTTTGTTGTCTATTTTTTTGGTACTAGTGATTGAACACAGAGCTACATCCTCACCCTTTTTTTTATTTTGAGACAGGGTCTTGCTAAATTGCCCAGCCTGGGCTTGAATTTGAAATCCTCCTATCTCAGTCTCTCAGAATGCTGGAATTAGAGGCATGTGCCACCACACCTGGGAGGTTTGTTGGTTTTTTTAAAGGAAAACAGTGATTGTCCAGTGCTAGTAGTTACTTTTGTTTTCAGAATTCTCTGGTAACAAGCGTGAATCATCTTTCTATGTGCCTTGCTGGCAGATCATAAAACCTGTTGTGACAGCTGTAATCTAGTTCTGTGTGTCTCCCAACAGTATTTGCATGGGGTGTTCTGGGGGTCTAGGAAGAGAAAAACATGTTGCTTTGCTAGGTTGTATTTTATTTTGTTTTGTTTTGGTGGTTTTTGTGTTTTTGGTGTGCTGGCTGTGGATCAATACACCCAGGGCCTCACACGTGCTAGGTGAGTGTTTTACCTCTGAGCTGCAGCCCACCCCTTTCCTGGCATTTAAGTCAGTGGAACATTGTAACTGCTCTTTGCCCTTGGCATCTCAGTCCGATTTTCTTCCCTTCCTTCCCTTCCTTCCCTTCCTTCCCTTCCTTTTCCACACAGAGGTCTTCTACAGAGACCACATAATTTGAGTTCTCTGATCTGAGGAATCATTTCTCTTGGAGCTTTTCAGTTTTAGTGCAAGGATCAGTACTTAATTTCCTGCCATACTCTTAGAATGTCGGTCCATTCCATTTTTCCTTAACTAGAACATCTTCCATTGGGCTCTTGGCCCCAGGATGATCCTGCCCCACCTACCCCTTTCCTCTCGCCTCATGGCTCTTTAGAGGTGTTTGCTGATTAGGAAACTGGCACTCACTTCCTCCACAGAGAGACTACACTTAAGTTACTCAGGCTTTTGAAGTTGAGAAAGTGGCTCATTTAGCTCCATTTCTCAGCTGCATGCCAGAGTCATTGGGAATTTTAAAAAACAGTTGCCTTTGCTGTGCACAGATCTGTACACACCTGTGTTCATACAAGCTATGTGTACCAGTGTCTCACCCATACTTGCTAGGGTGTGGGAATCCATAGGTCTGTGAGGGCTGCCTCTCTGCCCAGAGCATGGGTGGATCCCTTTCCTAATTCCCTTCAGCTAGACCATACCTGAAATGAGAATCTCCAGGAGAGTAGGACACTGTGGTTGGTGTATTTTAAAATATCCTTGTGTCCCTGGGTTGGCACCAAAATAGGTGGAGAGGTGTAGTTTGAGACCAAGGGTAAGATCAGCTTGTACAGAGCGTGGTTCCTACTCTGCCAGGCCAGAGGTGCTGTCTCTGGCCTCTTAGAGGTGCCTCTGTAGGAACCTGTGTCCTCGCCACATAGCAGTCTGGCCTCTTGGTTTGGAAGCCAGGGAGCAGCAGCCTCTGGAGCCTCAGAGCCAGCAGCACATGCTTTAAAAGGGTCTCTGCTTATCTCACACCCAACTCACCAAAACTTACTTCATCCACAGAGATATGCAGCCCCTGCTCGGTGCCCTGCCAAATGTGGGCATGTTTGACTCTGGCTTCAGGGTCCCTGGCGCCCAGCCGGCCAGCACCAGCCATCAGCCTCCAGCCCGGACCCAAGGAGCGCCCCCGGGCCATTGGATCCCTCAGCAGCCCCACTTCTCGCTCCTGCCCCTGCCTGCACAGAGGTCTCCCTCCGAAACCAGTGAGCTCAGGGAGGCCCTGTTGAAGATCTTCCCTGACTCCGAGCAGAGGCTGAAAATTGACCAGATCCTGGTGGCCCATCCATACATGAAAGACCTGAATGCGCTCTCTGCCATGGTGTTGGATTGAGGCTGCTGAGCTCAAGCCAATTTATCACAGAGCTGAGGGCTGTATACATGGGAAGTTCCTGATAGGAAGAAATTTCCCTGTGTAGACATCCTTTTATAGAGGAAAGAAAGGTGTGTATAAAACAAACAAAAACACCTGGATTTTGAAAACCAGCTTTTTTCTATATATAAATTATGCTGCTATTACAGATTTAACATTTTCTGTAAGAGAATAGTATACACTTTCTGCCTGTTCAAAACTGTTTAATAGCAGTTACTCTTTAGTGTATTTACATTTTTATGTTTTTTAAAACTATTTTCCTTAAAGTGGATATTGACAAATGGATAAGGTTAGCCTTTCTAAATAAAAGAGTTGCTTTCTTAAGGAAAGCAGTAGCTCTTTAAAGTATATTTTCTTGAGGTGAATATGTCCTGTCCACTGACATGAAGTGTGCTCCCCTGCCCACCTCCCCTGGATTGGGGTTGGTTTGCTCCTGTGGGATCTTTTGTTGGAGCCATTTATGAGAGTGGACAAGTGGTGCCACTAGGTGGCACTTTGTGCCTAGCCATTGTTAATGACCAGGGCCAAGTTAGACTATCAGGGCTAAAAGTCTCCCGGCTCATGTAGTCCCTCTCCTTCCCCTTCCATCCCACAAGAGAGGAGCTGAGGCCCGGTGTGCCTGGGGCTGCAGCGTGGGCAGCCAGGTAGGGCCGAACTCCTTGCCCTGTGCTCCTCACCGGTTGGGGCCTCCACACACCTGACTAAAAGTCCCGTCTTTGCCTCAGAAGACTGGAGTATGGTGTGAAGAGTTTAGTATAAATCCCCGTCCGTGGGGAAATGCCTCAAGGTAGAGTTTGTACAGCTTTGCCAAAAAACTTTTCTATTCTCAAGACGACCCAAGCCAATAAATAGCATTAGCAGCTTCCATGGGGGCCCCAGTGCCCTCTATTTATTTTCTGGTGTTTCGTCCCATCAGTGTTGTAAGCAATTCTTCTCGAGTCTTTCGCACAACTGATTCTATTAGTGGTGTCTGTTTTCAGTGTTGCTTCAGTTGTGTCAGTGAGGTTCTTTCCTGGTGATTCCTGACGTGTACTCGCACCTGGGCCTTCAAAGGGCTTTGTACTCTATACCTGTGGTCTCCCAAGGCTGCTCACAGTGGTCTCGTGCCTGCCCTGTGGATCCTGTCTCTCCTGGCCCCAAGGAGTAGCGGATAAAGATTTGGTGCTGGTTGTCCTTTGTGGTGTAGGGCCTAGGTGGCATTCCAGAGTGCTCCCAGGGCATGTCCTGTTGGTTCTGTTTGACCCCCGCATCCCCAAGAAGATGAATCAGAGCCCTGTGTGTGGCCAGACTTGTGTTTCACTCATGTACATCCAGGTGCCTGGGTGTGCATCCTAAAGCGGAAGTAGTTATCCGCTGTTGTTTCTAGCCAGGCTGCCAGGGTGGCTGGCTATAGAAGTCAGGACAGAGATTGGAGGCCAGGGGTGACTTGAGTCACAGCCTCTGTCTTAGGATATATCTGACCTCCTGGCTTAGGGCTCAGCCCAGGAGACAGACCCACCAGGTTGTCCAGGTTGGACCTCCTCCAGTGCCTGCTGGAGCCATGAGGAAGAGGGCTCACAGGTCTTCTAGGCTCAGAAGCAGTTTGAACTTGACCTAAGTTCTTTTAACTTTGTGTTCTTAGTATTGTTCTGAGTTCTGAGATCTGTCTGTTGCCTCCCCCTTCTTGGACATGGGAGAGAAGAAGGGTAAGTAGGAAGAGCACAGAGAAACATTAATTACTTTATAAATTACATGTGAAGCATAATTCACAGTTCTTTCTGGAAATCATATTTACTTTAATATTTAGAAACCCAGTTGTCAAACCATTGAAGACAACTCAACCTATTCTCAGCCATGCTGCTACTGGTGGGCATTGGAGATAGTCCCACGTCCATCCCGCATTCCCCTGGCTGTGTAGCCCCTGCCTCCTGCCGCCTCCGTGCAGTGTGACTGCCTTCTGTGTGTCATGGTGTTTGTGTGAGGGGCTTTGTGGGTGGATGGCATCCTTGTCCCAAGGCCCCAGGCTGCCATCTCTGGGAGTGAAAAGGACCTGTTTGGTCTGTCAGGGAGTCCCTGTTAGAGACCCAGTAGACTGGCAGCCAGGAGAGCAGAGCAGCGGGCATCACAAACCTCCGGCGATGGTTAGCATGGTCAGGCAGCCTCACTGTGTCTCCAGGGATGGAGTCAGATACATGGGCTTGGCTGTGTACACGGAGACCCAGACTCTGCACGCTGCCCTCAGCCCTTCCTTCCACACAGGCTTCTTGGAGACCCCAGCTGCCTGTCTCCACCTCTCATCAGTGCTTCCGGTCCCTCTTCCAGGATGCCTGAATCCCTCTCCTTACATCTCCTACTTGTAATTTATTTATTTATCAGTAACCGTTCACCTCCATTTCTGCATGATCTACCTCTCCATTACCCCATACTTATTTCTGTTTTTTTTTAATTTTTGTTTTTTAACAGTACTGGGGGTTGAACCTAGGGCCTAACACACTGAGTTACATTCCCAACCCTTTAAAAAAAATTTTTTTTTTTTTTTTTTTTTTTTTTTTTGGTACCAGGGATCAAACTTGGGTCCTTGTGTTTTCGAGGCAGGTGCCAAAACCACTGAGCTAAATCCCTGGCCCTAAAATTTTTAAAAAGTTATTTTTTTTTGGTACCGGGGATTGAACTCCATCCTTGTACTTGTGAGGCAGGCGGTGGCACCACTGAGCTAAATCCCCACCCCCTAAATATCATTTTGACACAAATTCTCCCTAAGTCACTAAGTTACCCAAGCTTGGCTTAAATGTGAGATCCTCCTGCTTCTTTCTCCCAGAGTGCTGGGATTACAGTTATGTCTAGGAAAAGTCACCGGGGATTACCTGATTGCTGAGTTTTCTCCGTCCTTAATCTTGGTGTACACAGTAGGCAGTGACAGCACTGGATACCATTGACCTTATTTTCCCCTTCTAGAATTTCTTCATTCCTTTTCTTCTTTTTACCGAAAGGCCAATCTTTAACACCCTCTATTTCTCAGCAGTTGGTTCTCAAACTATGGGCCACCTGTGGAAATTAGGGTGGAGGAGACAACTTTTGCTGAAGATGCAGATTCCTGGGCTCTCCCCAGAGGTGTGGACTCAGGAGCTTGGGGTGAAGCCCTTTAGCACATGCCCATGCCAGTGGCCCTGGACCACACTTTGAGAGATGTGGTCACCACTCTTCCCTGCCAGACTCTGCTGTCCTCCATTTGTGGTGACCTCTTCTTGTCCAATCATAGCCCAGTGGAACCGTTGAATTCCCCAGTCCCTCGGCCTGCCTTCACCCTCCCTCCCCACTCCCTGCACCCCACATCCTGTTACCCTGTGTTCACACACCTTCCCACCCCTGCACTCTCCCACAGCCCGCGGGTGGTCTTCAGAAACCCCACTGCTTCTCCCATGATCTTTAGTGGCTCCTGTACACACACCAGCCTTGTGTCCCTGGCTGTCCACCTCCTCGAGTACCACTGTGTATCCCCTCCCCGGATGCCCACTGAGCCACACAACTTTCCTACATTGCCTCATCTTCCCTTCTCAGAGCCCAGCCTGGTCCCCTCTGTGCCCCTGCCCAGTGCTGACCAGAAGCAGCCTCGTGGTGTTGTGTGGACCTGTGGCACTTTGTCTCGCTTCTGGCGCTTGCTGCGTGGGAGTGTCACTGCAGCTAATGTGTGTTGTTTTACCTTCCTCTAGACTGTGAGCTCCTCTCGGGCAGGGACTGTCTGTGTCGCTCTATTTCCCATGCACCTAGCACAGTGCCTTGCACTTGACAGGTGCTCAATAAATGTTTGTTGCTCAAGTGACCTGGAGCACGGTGTCTTCTTAGCGCCATTCATTCTTTTTTTTTTTATAGTTTTTGGGGATTGAACTCGGGTCCATTGCACTTGCGAGGCAGGTGGTGGCACCACTGAGCCGAATCCCCGGCCTGTGCCATTTGTTCTTGATGGCAGCATCAGCAGCAGGACTGGGATGATCTTCAGAGTCGGCCGAGGCCTGAAGCCCACTGCCCTCGCCACCTTCCTGTTCATGCCCATCTCTTCTGGGTTCCAGCAGGCACCATCCTGGGCAGACTGGGACAGGCAGCTGGGCCAACTACTCCAGCCAACTATTCCAGCCAGTCACCTCTTCAGGATTTGCCCTTCAGTTGGGGCTTTAGGGTGCCTGCCGAATCTGCTAGAGGTCATTTTCTGCCACGAGGAAAGCTGGGCATCTGTAGAGCAAAACTGGCAGTGCGAGATCCCAGGTCCCAGTGTCAGGAATGCCCTTGCTTAGATGTCACCATGCCCAGTGTTCTAGCATGCATCCTCTGCTTTTTGGAGGCAAGGTCTCAGTGCATCTCAGGCGAGTGAGCGCCTGTGCTCCCAGACTTGTGCTCTCCTCTTTGCTGAAGCTAGTTCAAGCTGGACCTACTTCCTTTGAGTAAAACACGTTGCTGTCCTCAGCAAGGACTTGCAGGTTGAGGTTGAAGTTGGGCTGATGTTGAGACAGGTCTCAAAGGCTTGTGCAGCTGGCACAAGAGGCAGCCATTTCCAAGTGCCCTGGCCCCACAGAGGCGAGCTCTCCCGTCTGCTGCTTACTGCTAACATCTTTCTGGGCATCCACTTCCTCTTCTAACTGCCTTAAATTCTCTACTGTGAAGTTCTGTCCACTTTCCCAGCTAGGCAGAGACCAGCCGAGTTCAGCTGGAGTTTGACTTTTCTCTGTGCTTCAGTTTTCCTTCCTGTAAAATGGGAATGATGAAACAATGTTTCCTGCTGCCATGGTGCTGTGAGGACCATGTAGGTTGGTACCTGCTAACCAATCCCGATAGTCTGTGTTCCAGGGTTCCAGTCAGCCCTAGGGATATGCATATCACCCACACCTGTGTCTGCCGGAGCAGGCTCTTCTCTTCGCTGGCCACCATGGCACTGGGATCAGGGTACTGGATTAGTACCTGCACTTTTGTCAGATCCTCCACAGGGGCGTGGGAGGGCCAAGTGGGGCCTGAGAGGCCATGAGACCTCTTAGTCCAGAACAAAGGGCTGTGGGTACGGTGGCAGGATGCTGGATGCTGGCATAGCTCCAGCTTGTTCGGTCCTCTCCACCAGGCCCTGGAGTGGGCTGTCATCTCCTTTCTGTCAGGGAGGAAACAGATACAGAGGGGCTCAGGAATGTGGAGTTCTCAAGGCCAGTTGGTCCATAGTTGAATTCCAGCGTGCCCTTCCACCCCCATAGGTGACTTGGACAACCAGGATGGTACCATATAGGATGCCACCCCCGCTCCACACTGTGAGGTTGGAGAACCAGAGGGATGGCCGGCTGGGAGAGGGAGGCTGTGGGCGAAGTGGCTCACACCTTCCTGACCTTCCTGATGGGCCTGCCCTGTCCCTGCTCCCAAGGGAAGCGCCTGCAGAGCCATCGGAGGGAACCTGTGCAGGTGCCACACCTGCTCTGCGGCACTCAGGGACCCTTAATGTGGCCTCTGCTGGGCTCTGAACACTGAAAGCAGCCTTTATCACCCAGCCCAGGCCCAGTCCTCTGGCTGGGCAGGCAGGGCTTTGCCTGGAAACTGGACAAAAGGCCCATAGCCGGTGCTGGAGAAGAAAGCCAGAAGGGCGGTGAGCCAGCCCCTCCCGACTCCTGCTGCCTTGGTGGCTACAGCCCCGGGAGTCACAGGACTACAAACTGCAGACTACAGCTGTGGGGCTTTTCCAACCACCGCACCCCGGCCCCAGGTCCCTAGGGTGTACCGCTTGGCTACACATCCTGAAACCCAGTCTGGGGTCAGGCCTGGGCAGGCCCTGCCCTCCCCCTCCTATGCCCAGCAGAAGAGGAAGGAGGCTGCCTGTGAAAAGAATGTGCTGTCTGCCGCCTGTCTGGCTCCTGATCAGTCTAAGGTTTCAGCCACCAAAAAAGGCAGCAGGAAGGAGAGGCTTTCTGCGCTGGCCCTGAGGAGCTGGGCATGCTTTGCCCAGGGACTTCCCACCTCGTGAGTGTGAGTGGGGGAACTGAGGCCCAGCTGTAAGTGTGGAGGGAGCGTGGGAGTGCTGAGTACCCACTTCCCCTGGTGCTCTGCTCCCTTCACCTGTTCAGAAGCCATCCTTGACTGCCTTGCTGGGTTAGGAGGCAGCCAGAGTGTCCCTCTTTCTTGGGGTTCCAGGGTGATTGGGCCTCATTCTGACTCCTGGTGCCTTGTGGCTTCTGGAGGCTGCAGTGCCCTGTGCTGATGGGAGCTGGGAGGCTCGGGCGGGCAGTCAGGTGGTCCCCCAGAGGGGAGCTTTTCCAGGATCAGAGTCTGGCCACAAGCCAGCCTGCAGGCTCCAGCCCAAGCCTCTGACGCCTGTTTCCTGTCAGTTCCCACTGGTGCCCTCTTGTCCTCAAGGTTGAGGCCCACCACCCACTAAGCGGCCAGAACTAAAACCTCAGCAAGGGCTGGCACTGGGAATGTCTTCCCACACCACATTCCACTACCAGAAGGGCACCACAGGCCTAGGCCTGGCATTCCTTGGGGCTCCACAGGGGTCCCCAGGCCTTGTCTGACCTGTGGTGGTCACAATGGTGGACACCGCAGCTCCTTTCCTTGGCACTAGTCTGGCTTGGGCTGGGTGCTTTTGTTTTCCCCCAACCCAGGGGGACAGGCCAGCTGTGTGTCCTCACTGCTTAACAAGTGGATGTAATGACATGGGGGACAGTTCTGAAGAGGGAGGGGAGCAGCTGGGACCCACTGAGCGTAGCTTCTTCACCCAAACTAGCATGCTCACGCTGCTCACCATGCCCACCGCAGAGCTGGGCTCTGTCCCACAGGCACCAAGGGCTGGGAGCTTGGGGTGGGGAAGGCAAGAAGAGTGGTAGAGGTTGCCTAGTACGGATGGCTTCCTGGGCCCAGAGGACCTGCTGGCCTGGGGAATTAGTGACCACCAGCTGGTGAGGGAGGAGTCACATTGATGCACTTTCCTCTGCCTCCCTGCAAGATATGGCCATCCTTCCCCTTGGAGTGTTTTCCAGGTGTCCACTGCCACCAGGTCAATCCCCCAAGCCAGGACCAGCCAGAGCATCTCGACTTGGGAGACGGATGGAAAGCAGACACCCTTGACCGCCAAAGTGGCCTCCAGAAGTGACTGGCTGTTCCACACATCCCCTGCACCCAGGCTTAGATCTGTTTGCTGCCCTCAGGCTTATCAAAATGAATATTCCCCACAGATCCACCCTGCGGGGCTTGGCAGCCTGTGCTTCTGTTACCAGTGACTACCAGGAGAGTCTACACTGTGGGCATGGGAACCAGCCAAACATGAATGGCTGTAGGACATGAGTCTGGACCCTGTTCCCTCCCACAGCTGCTTTCCAGACTGAAGATCCAGGCCCCATCTGGGTGGCCCCCACATGGACCTCCAGTCCCAGCCAGAGCTGCTCTTCGTCTCATTTGAATCAGCCTCCACAGGAGCCCACGGGGACAAGCAGGAATGGTTAAACCCCTTAGGAAAACTGAGGCAGATCC